AACCATCAATCCTTCGATTTCAGGGCAAACTCTTACATCCAACGCCACTGTCGCCCCATTTAATTGGTCAAATGCAAGGGCGGAGCTACATGGGGGACCTGGGGTGCTGCCATGGCCACCCTTAGCCAATAAGTGGCCACCCCTACCTTTATACCAGTAATACTCTCAATTGGAATATTCAAAATTTAGATTCAAATACAGAATTCATGCTCTTTTCAGAACTAGATTTTGAGTTATATAAGGTAAAGAGAAAATGCAAGTCATCTAGGAGTCTTCAGTGAAATCGTAGATAACTATTTTAATAAAAAAATAATTAAATAATCAGTTTTTGTAGATATTATTACTTGTAAATATCAATTTCATACAGAATGATTGTTGATAATAGTAGGTAAGTAATGACAAAAGAAAAGAACTCAAACCTGAAAGAATTGTATCCACTATACCTTTTATTTAAAAAGCACAAATGTTTAAATATATGCATCTATTTGTTAGCAAAGGTTGTAGGAAAGTATTGTTTGTCTTTATTTAAAAAATGTGGATGTTGTGCTTGTTAATTTTCCAGATTGACCCTGAGCTTCATGTGCCTATCTATCCACTTACGGCCACCCCACATTGGTTACCGCTGGGCCACCCTTATAAAAATGTTCTGGCTACGCCTCTGGTCAAATGCCAAAATAAGATGTACAGCCATGTAGCATTTATAAACTGTGTTCAAGGGACCAACGGCGGTAACTTGCCTATAAAGGGTTAAAGCGTTCGTGGTTCCCACAGGTAAGTTCGTCGTTTCTCCAGCAGATGGCGCTGTTTCCCTGCAGTTTCCTGCTCCATCCTGGCAGAAAGCTGTGAGGAAGTAAAGCTTGTTTTCCAGTTTAGAGCCGTTTAGGCTCCGGTGGCCCTCAGATTAAAAACACGCTCCGGATTCACTTGGTACGTTGAATTTTCTCCCGCTTTATACAGCCGGTGCACAGCGCTAATTAAAATAATCAATTTACTGTTTCCTACTGCGGCTTTAAAAACTCAGTTCTTCCGCTTTCGTAATGATTTCTGTTGCTAAAACAAACTAACAGGTTCTACAGACACCGATCCAGAGTCTGGATCAACGCTTTAAAGCATTTTCTGCATTATTTTCTGCATCTTACAGGGAATTATAGCCCAAAAACTAATTAGTTTATACATTTCAACAGAAATTAGTTACAATTAGGATAAACTAAAGATGTCAGTTCATGAATAAATATGTGTATTGCCGGAACGCGTAGAGCAACTAAAACCTTTGATCTATTGTAATAAGTTATAATAATGTAATTAACTCACACGACGGTTTGTTTTGGGTTTTAGCATTTATGTTCAATAGAAAAACGACGCTTAAGGGAATGTTTATTTTTTAAACAATGTATTTTTGTATTTTATACTTAATTAAAGGAAATAAATAATACAATGATACAAACAGATGTTTTTTTTTATATGCTTTGCTACATGACCATTTTAACTGTTGATGATACCAGCATTGGTCTGCATCTTAATTATTATTTTTATTTTTTTTTATTATTGAACTTTCTTGATATATAGCAATCCTCTGCATTTAACCCATCCCTTGCTGAGCAGCGGGCTGCCATTGTGCAGCGCCCTGGGAGCAATCAGGGGTTATAGGGTGACCAGGTTTGGGTTTCTGAAAAGGAGGACGCTTTTTTGGGGTTGGGGGGTTATGAAGTGACACAAATGTTATGTGTTTTTGCTTACCTTGTACTTACCTGCAGATTAGTAGTAGTAGTATATATATATATATATATATATATATATATATATATATATA